AGCAAGGCTGGCCCATTGTGTCACCCTGTGGAGAAATCTATTACTATATTATCCAGGGACAGTCAGTTCTCCCTCCCAACCCCCAACATCTGAGTTGCCTTAAATCTGAGTGCTGCTAAAGTCGTGTACCCTCAAATCAGAGAGTCCCTGGGGCTGAGAGCGGGAGCAAAGAAGGATCAAGGCTGATGTCTTAGGAACAAGTGACTTCCTGGTTGTCTTGAGGATGCTCGTTGTTGAAGCTGCTCTCTCCAAAGGGTGAGTAAGGAGGGACCTGGGGAGCCTCGATGATGAGCAGACCCTCTGGAGAAAGCGAGGCAAAGACGGTCGCTGGATCCACTTCTGCGGGAAGCCTGGGAGAGCAAAACACAACATCTTACCACCGATTGGTTTTAATATAGCTGAAACTGCTGTATTCACTGGAAAGAAAATGTTCTTCTGCATGCAAGCGTGTGTATGGTGTAAGTACGCGTGTGTATGTGTGTGTGCACGTATGTGTCTGTGTGTCTGTGCATGTGTGTGTGCATGTGTGTGTCTGTGTGTGTGTGCATGTGTGTGTGTCTATGTGTATGTATGTGTATATGTGTGTATGTATATGTGTGTGCACGTGTGTATGTGTGTATGCATGTGTATATGTGTTTATATGTATGTGTGTATGTGTGTGTATGTGTGTGCATGCATGTGTCTATGTGTGTATGCATGTGTCTGTATGTGTGTGTGCATGTGTGTCTGTGTCTGTGTGTATATGTGTATGTATATGTATGTGTATATGTGAGTATGTGTGCATGTGTGTGTCTGTGTGTATGTCTGTGTATGTGTATATGTGTGTATATATGTGTGCATGTGTGTCTGTGTGTATGTATATGCGTGTGTATGTGTGTGTATGTATGTATGTCTGTGTCTGTATGTGTGTGTGTGTGCATGTGTGCATGTGTGCACACCCAAGCATCCCCCCATCAGAACCCGATATCAGAAATCTTCCCCTAGCGTTTGCATCTTATTGTTTGAAGCTGTGTCTCTCACTAAACCTGAAGTTAGTCAATTTGGCGAGGCTAACTAGCCACTGAACTGCAGGGATACCCCTGTCTTTCCACCTCTGTTACAGACTTGTGCGGTCACACCTGGCTTTTATGAAGGTGTCCAGATCTGAACTTATGTTGCCATCTTTGAAGAGTCTCGTCCAATGAATCATGTGACCCTAAGCTTCTGTTTCACAGATCATGAGACGGATGGGGAGGGGTGGGGGGGCGGGGGCGAGGGAATGTCAGACAAACTCAAGACAGAGAGCATCAAAGATGGGACCTGTGTTCTCAAACCTTAATCTACTTCTCAGAAGGACTTGGGAGGTGGGAGGAGACAGCGTCTCAGAGCCCAGCCCTTAACTCCTGGACCCCCTGAGGACTGTAACCGTAGGTGTGTGTCACCCTACCCATCCCTAAGAATTGAAAGTTCTTTTTCTTTGTTTTTTTGGAGATTTCTTCTTCAACGAACTCGAAACCGCGAGGGCGTGTTAATGGTCTCCCTGGAATGCTGATATTAGTAAGAATACAAAAAGCTCATGACCGGCTGGGCCCTTTCAACATTTCGGGTGTTGCCTCAGATTCAGTGACTAAGAATCCCGCCAAGAAGATTCTATTACTGTCCCTACTTTGTACAGCCAGGGAGCGGTCTGTCCTCCCCTGGTTGTGAGAGTGACTCACCCTGGGGGGGTTGAGGGGTGGGAGTCATTTCCTAACATCAGAAGCCCAGAGCCCTCTGAGCCACATCCACCCAAAGCCACCTTGCAGGACCGGAACTATGAAGATCAACAAAGGTGCTTCTGGAGGACTTGGATAACCGCCAAGCCAAGCTTTGGAAGCAAGAAGACAAAGCCTGGCTGTGGACCTCCTCCTACCGCCCCTCCCACCATGGGGGGGGGGCCGATTCGATTCTGTTTAACCCTTTGTGTGCCGTCCGTCCGTCACCTGGTACAAGTATAGCTTGGGTCCCACAGGCAAGCAGAGCTGAGTTTACATTCTGAAGCTTCCCCAACCAGCAGAAGGGAACTGATGATCTGATCTCTTCCAAGCCTACTTCCTTGTAGGGAAAAGAATGTCAGAATAGTATCCTGGAGTCGACTGAGTGCTGTGAGGAAGCCTTGCCGTCACCGGCCCTGCATGCTGGCATCCTCAACAGCTGTAAATATTTAAAGGCAAGTTACACTGATATCAGAGCCCAAAAGACCTTTGTGATGGTCCAGAAGGATGCTCTTGTACAGGGAGAAACGGAAGCCTAGAGACAGGAATACACCCGTTTTGGGTCTCCCACTAGTAAGCTGGATTCCCGAGGTAGGGAAAAGTTTCCCTTTAGGCTTCATTTGCATCTGAATGATGGTCCCCCACTGAGCGCTAAATACCCAAGAGCCTCGAGGGCCCTTCACTAACTGCTTTCCCTTTCGTATAGCTGACTTAAAACTCCGGCCTCAGAGCAACTGGCCTTATCTAGTTAGAACTGGCCTGGGGTAGAGTCTTTGAGTTTATTTCCCTCACAGGTGCGTTCTTTGGGGATCTCGTCGGTGGTGAGAATTTAACGTTATGAAAAGGGAGCTGACCGCAGAGCGGGGGTAAAGCCCTAAGCCGGTGGATGCGAGAAGTGGAAGTTTATGAGTCTGAGAGCACAAGGACAGTGAAAGCTGTCACCTGAGATCCCTTGGTCCAGCAGGAAGGCTGAGAGAGACCCGTGGTTCAATCCCACAGCACTCCTTTCCTTTTAGAGACAGTTTTATCAAGTTGTTGTATGTGCGTGTGTTCATGTGGATATGATTATGATCACAAACATGAACGCAAGCATGTAGAAGTTGGGGGTCAACTTTAGGTATTGTTTCTCAGGAATTTCCCAGCCTGTTATTATTATTACTATTTATTATTATTATAATTACCACTACTATTATTACAATGATTTCGTCATCATCATCACCATCATCACCATCATCACCATCATCACCATCATCACCA